TATATAGATATATATATATACAAAAAAAGCTTCAACTGTCTGTTAAAGGCATGCTGCATATTTTGGAATCATGACCTTGCACTGGAAAATAACTTAGTTTGTTTGATTCTCACACAGATTCTCTCTCAATCTAATCTTACTGTACAGAAGATTGAGAATGCATGTAAAAATGAATTAGATTTTTTACAATTAATGCATAACTACATTAGCCTAAAAGGGTCAGATGGGGTTTTAGTTGCGCTGGGATGTGTTGGCAGCCCATCCAAAAGCTGGTATCTTCAATAACTTAATTTATCCAATAAAGGGTATCATTTGAACTCCAACTTTCACATTTACCAATGGCTAACATGGTACAAGACTATATTACTGCACAAATCTACTTCTAAAATATAACTGCATCTTACCACCACAGCTTCCATTAGACGCTGGAATCAGTAAAATGTCTCCATTGTGCTAAGAAAAAAGTGCAAATCAATTCATAAATGACAAGATTTTATACGTAATTGTTGTGATAGAACAGTATAATGTGTTGAGCCACGAACACCAGGAAAGCACAAGACAAAGCTAATATATGATTATACTCAAACTATTCAATAATAAAATGGCCTCATTAAAATTTAAAGAGACTGCCACCTTGCACTACTAAAAATGTATAAATATCATACCGGGGTGCTCCATGCCTTGGATAGGTTGTAATGGGATTTGTGGTTTATGGGAGCTGCCCTTAGCTTCTAGCTACAGCTGAATATCATATACACCTGGAATACTCATTAGGGGACTACTGAAACTTCAAAAGGGTTTGTAATTTTATACAATCAGCCTTGGGATCCAGACACCCCAGCCAGGCAGTATAGCTGCCATAGCTTCCATTATCCAGCCTCCACTGCAGCAGCAATTTCATATATGTAAAAACATTCAGTGAACTACTAATGCTATCCAGGTAAGTTCACTCATTTTTAAACAAGTGTTCTAAACAAATGCCAGCTATCCTTTTTGCCCCCTATGCTGTGCAAAACTAGCCTATCCTCCCCACCCCAGATGCATACTTGCCTTGCAATTGTGCCTGCAACCTCCGCTGTTTATATTTGCATCATGCTTTTGTAGATAAAAAGTGCTGGCCATTCCTTACTCTATCCAAAGCTAAAATAAAGGTTAACGTTTCGATACTCTTTAAATATCTGCAGTGGTTCTTATATTATGCCCATAACTTTCCTCTTATAGTGTTTACTATGTTGAGCATTCTGTGACCACCCAAACCCAATCTCCATTGTCTGTCTTTCTCTACACTCATCTCATGTGCATCTATCAAATCCCAAATCCTGCCTTTTGCGTCCACCATACACTAAACTGAAAAGTTTACTTTCAAGTGGGGAGAGTGTGCAATGTTTATATTATAGGGGGTCAGGCAATATTGCACCACATACCTTACAAAATGTACGTGCACTGTCAAATCATGGATATTTCTCACCTGATGGGGCTTTCTTCTTGTTCTTATACTCTGATTCAGTTTCAGAATATCATTGCAGAATTTCTTGGCAGTGAGAAATAACAGTGGTGAATCAATAGATATGACTTTAAAGTCCTATAATAAACAAATACATTTTTAGGTTTTGTGGCCCTAGGCAAAGAACCAGCTAGTGCAAATAACTAAACTGTCGAAATTACAGACAGTAGTATTTATCATTTGCCTTTATGGTAACACACATTTTGAGGTTATTGCAGCTTTAACCTAAAAAAATATTTTTATGACTTTATACAGGTTTTAGGATTCCCCTTTTAGAGGCTACTGAAGATCAGAAGTTTGGTGATGCAATAAAATCAGTTACGGTATCTACATAGAAATGTGTTGTTAATGAATCTAAGCAGTAATATGTAATAGATTATTATTACAGAAGTTGAAAGTTGAAGGAAGTACAAAAATCTTTTTCATTTACTCATTCTAAAACAAAATGTGAATACAATAGTAGTGCAAGTGTCCATGTATTGTAAAAATATAGAAATCTTAATTTTTAAAAGGGTTTATAAAATATTTGCTAAGCAATGTGTAGTGCCCCCCCTGACCCCCAAAGGCATGTGGTGAACCCCAAAGGCAGTGAGGGCTGACATTTCACTCTCAGGGGTGGAGCCTTAGCCAGGTTGTGGGATGTGAATGGTAAATTGGGCACCAGTCACTTTAAGTACATTTTCAATGCTTTATTGTAGAACACACAACAATGGGAGAGAGAGTATAGGGCTACATACACCCATGAGCAAAAATTGATAGAGGATATTCTTGACATTTTCCCTGGGAGAGATACCAGACTTGTTCCTGAGGTCCATGCCATCCCGGCACCTCCAGCAGACAAAGGGCTCCTCTAGTTCTCCTTCCCAGTTAGTTCCAGACCCCACCTGGGTCCATATCTGGCCTCTGCAGACTTCAGGCCTAGTTAGCTTCTCCAACATTATACATCCGAACACCTAGGCTAGGCCCGAGGGCAGACTGCCTTGAGTACATGGCAGTGTGTGAGTATTTATACACGGCTGAAGACGTGTATCCAAACCTCTGTCATTATCCTCAGTGGTGAGACATGTTGTTTTACATGCTGGTTTTGTGAGTGTGCCATGATGCCTTTCTGCTGTTTTAGTATTTATACCCTGCCCCAGCATGCCATGAAACTCCTATTGATTGGCTGAAGAGACATAAACACTCCCAGTGTTCTCCCATTGGCTACCCCACTCTGTGGCAGGGTCATACCTCACTACAGGTAGGTGCAGACAATAGCAGAACACCTAGGAATGACCAAATGATCACAGACTACAAATCAGTCAGACTGATTACAGTGCCAGCAACACTGAGGGGGTTTTTCACTTAGCTGCCGAAGACAGCCGAGTGAATTACCCGGCCAAAGTTGAAGTGAGCCGAACACTGTTCGGCTACTCACTTCAGTCTTGTATGGCTGATTTCAGCCGTACATCGGCTAAAAATCGGCTAAAATCAGCCTTCGGTCATCGGCTGCCTTCGACTACATCGGCTGCCTTCGGTCAGCCGAACAGGCTCTGAATAATTTCAGGTGATCCAGCCATGAAGGTTCTCATGGCACTTCCTGTCAAAAGGTTACAATGCTCTGTACCTATTTCTTGACATGTAACCCCGTCAGATATTCTCCCAATGCAAACTACAAGCAATCCTGCTGAACCACATTACACAGGCATGGTCCATTGTTGCCACCCGGAAACTCTCCATGAGAAACACCATGCAGCCATTTCTGGAGTTAGTGCATGTAGACAGGAAATGTGGCAAACGGGCTGCAGGAAATCAAGCAAGCAACAAAGGGAAACAAACTGCAAACACTATTTTAGTTTTAAAATACCAATTGTTTATAATACACAGTGCTATATTAAACTAAATGTCACCCAATGAGGGATTGTATCTAGTACAGTTTTGACAGTTTTGTGCTGACAAACAGTTGATATTGGTGGTGAGCACCTGTTGAGCATCTGCTGGGACACAAAACCATGTGGGTTTTGTGAGACTTTCTCATAAACAGGGGGTACAGCTGTTCCATGACTAGCATCTGGCAATCTGACATCACCCTATGCACAGAAATACGAGGAGTTTCTGTTGTTTCTATTTGTTAACTGACCAATAACAAAATGCTGAGGAAATAGTAATTTGAATTTAAAGAGCAAATGATTGACAACCTTTCAAATTACAGCCTTGCAGCTGCTCAGCTAAAGACTATTACAAACATGTAGATATAAAGATATTAAAAGAACTTACACCATACTCTTCTTCACTCACTGAGCTAAAATCTTCATCTAGATGTATGAGCTGAAGCGTCTTTGCTCTGTTATTATACAGAATTAGACAGAATCAACAAGTAAATCAATAACAATATAAAAGCTCAAGATTGCAGACCCAAATTGATCCAGCTATAAAATAAATCATATTATGTAAGAAATGTATGCCACTTAAAGCAACCTGTTCCATTACCTATGTTTACAGAAACCACTGCCAAACATGAATTATTTGGGTCATAAAAAAAACTCACTAGTGAATGATGAGTGAACTGAAATTCTGTTCCAGTCTGTCCTTCCAACACTTCACTTTGGGCACCATTATCATGGCTCTCTCACGGAATAGAGAAGGTAAAGCCAGGTTGGTGCCAATCACAGCCCACACATAAAAGATACCTTTGATCTATCTGTGAGAGTCAACTCAGAGGTAGTGGCTAGAGATGGAGATGAGCGTATGTAGTTACTGTTTTTTTAGGTATAGTACCCTTAGTTTCCTTCCAGGTACCCATTTCTGTCTAACTAGAAGGTATATATAGTAGGGGATGAGTTTTCTCTGGGTCTTTTTAGTGGAGAGAGTTAAGATACAGAGATGAGAGCAGAGATAACCGTTTGTGGGTCCTTTTGGGATAGACAGGGCCACAGCTAAAAAAAATTGGTGCTGTGGAATTTTGGTGATCCCCTTAAGGGAGATGCTGCTATTTTTTCCTCAGGTGGGTCTAGCCAGTTCACCTGGAACCTCTATGGACAGAGCATGCTATCCTGTGGGCATAAGTCTGGAAGTTGACTGGGCATGGCAATGGAACTGTAATGAGAATGAACTGTTTAACTTTATCATGCTGTAAGTAAAGAGAAGTTAAAGGAGAACTATGAGGAGAGTGGGTTTTTGCTCTAAAGATCAGGAAGTGAGCGAACAGATACCGTCGCTTGCTCACTTTCCAATCATCTCCCCACAGGGATTGCCCCCCCCCTCCCCTCTCCGATCCTCCAGCGCTGACTTGAGGAACGGATGGGGGAGAGGGGGCGGGCACAGTTGGCTCTGCCTCTAGACAGGCAGGGTCCGCTGTCAATCAGCCAACGGGGTGAATCTCGACAGAAATATTGGGATCCGTCCCGGCTGCAGCGTTCTCGGTATATAGCTCGCTATATACTGAGCTCTGGGTCATGGGAGGATGTTAGTATATGTCCTCCCATGACCTTTAAGAGAACTATAGGATAAAAAGGTTACCCTATAGTTCTCTTTTAAGTTCAAGCAGAATATGGACTGAGTCTCTTCATTTTACGATCAGTGGGTGGCCTATACTGGGATAACTTATTGTTGCAGCCGGTTTGGGGCAGGAATTTGTGGTGGTTTGGTGACAATGGATCACTCAGTGGCATTGGCCGGCCAGGTTCGTCCGACGCATCTGACATGCCACCCAGGCTCCCATGCCACATGACCCTCAGGTGTGGGATTTGATCCTTCCAGGGATGGAACCTTGAACCATGGAACCAGTTCTACCTTTGTAATATACACTATAACGTCAAACATTTCTACATTTGCAGGGTTATTCACAAAAGGTTGAAGAGTTTGGAAAAGGCAGGAGAAGTGAACCATCTAGGCTAACATAGATGAACTGGAAAGTGAGCTGAATAGGAGTATTTTTCCCAATCAGCTATTTTGTCCTAGAGTGTTCACTTCTCCTGTCTTCTCCAAACTCTTCACCCTTTTGTGAATAACCCTGTTGATATTCAGTAGCTACCATGAGCATTGTTGAAATATCATATAAAGAAAGTTTCCAGAGTGGCAGCAAGTGCACATATATCTCAACAGCTAGTCAATTAACTGCTTGATCCTAGCATTATACTATATGCTTGTAAATATACTAAGATGTTTAGAAAAGCAGATAATTATGTTAAAAAACAGATAATTCATAAAAGAATGGAATATAGAGAAAAATACCTTACCTGGTTAATCTAAATACTCCTACTGCGATATTAAAGACAACACCAAACAGCAAACCAATATTTGCAGCAAAGCATATTGTTACCAGGTAGGTGCAAATCCATATTAACTGTTGGTAAATAAATATTCAATAACGAGAATTAAGGACCAACAAATGGTAAGTGGCTTTCAAAGATTCATTACAGACCAATGAGCAAAGATAGGTCTTTGAATTGTGCCATTTTCTGTAATTGTTGGTTACATATACTCTTAATGGGATAATACTCAAACCAACTGCATAGCTAAAATGATATAATGCAATTTGTCACTCACCTTGCTCAAAAGATCACTTTGCTAAAATTATTTCAGGCGTAATAGAAACCAAATGTAAGCTAAATGTGTCCTAAAATTGCTAAACATTCATTGCAGTATGTGACTCTAATGTAAAATTGCATGTGCCTTTGACACAGTGTTGTCACTATTGCACTTATAGTATGTGTGTCTATCTTGGTAGGACTATCATGGGCTTCATATGTAAAATTAATTTCAATATCTGACAAATTAGAAATTCTGGACAATCCAGCTCAGTACTTACCCAATCAAATTTATCAACATTCCAGTATTTCTTCAAATCTTGGAACTGTCTGAGCATTCCTTTCAATCCAACAACAATGAGACTAGCCAAAATGCACTGCAACAGGAGCACAGATATGCATGTTCGGCTATTTTATTGTGAAAGGAGTAGGTAATAGATTTGTCAGTGTATTATTTGTCATCTGTTTCCCATTGGGGTGATTTCCCTTCACTTCCTGTCCTGTAGACAAGACAGGAACTGAAATAAAATCATCCTAATGTGAGCAAAAACCTTCCTTAGGCTAGTGTCCCCAATGGAAGATTGGCTAATTGCTTTTTCCAGAAGTCTGCAATAAGATACAATGGCATTTTAGGCATCCCCTGGCATAGGCCTTTCCTCTTCTAAAGGGATGTCAATACTGCAGCTATACTTATTGAATCACTAAGGGGTGTATTCACTAAGCTGCCATAGGCAGCCGAGTGAATGACCGACCTAAAGCGAAGTGAGCCGAACGCTGTTCGGCTATTCACTTCAGGCTGGTTCGGCTGAAATCAGCCATACATCGGCTGAAATCAGCCGTACATCGGGTGGCTTTGGGTCGGCCGAATATGCACAGCATGTTCGTCCGACCCGAAGTGTAGAAGGAGTTCGACTCAGCCGATCCAACATCTGTATCGGCTAAGCCGAACCTCCGGCAGGCTACTCGCTGCTGTTCGGTCTATTCTTATAGATGCCGAACAGCAGTGAGTGAATAGCCGAATGCCGCTGAGCGGAATTCGGCTCGGCTGTTCTGCTCGGTCCCTCTGTGGGACTGAGCTGAACAGAAAAATAGTAAAAAAAAGTAGAAAAAAATAAATAGAAAACGATTGTGCGGAGCTAGCAGTGACAACTAGCTCCGCCCAACTGTTTTCTATTGTTCGGCGGTTCTGCTGCTGTCCAAAAAGAGAAAAAAACTCTCCCGGGCACCCCGGGAGTCTCCCGCTCCCGGCCGCCAAGGAGAGAAACACTGATTTTTCGTTTTCTTTTCTTATTCTGACACGGAGCCGTGTCAGAATTAAAAAAAAATAATAATTTTTGGCCATAGGAATGCATTGCTAGATTTCTATTGGCTATTTCAATTTGCAATAGCCAATAGCAAACTAGCTATTGTTCCTGCCCTCTGCTGCTGTCAATCAGTAGTTATGGACCTGATGGAGAACTGCAGCAGAGGGCGGGTGCAATGCTAGTTTGCTATTG